CCTTTTCGAATTGTGGTCACTAAATGAAGGGTTCTGATCTGGGAAGGCCCATCCATTCCCTCAATTGGATGGGGAACAGGGACAGTGACTCCAGCGATCTCAAGAATAGGAGGGAATGTTGACCAGGGAGCCACCGCTGCGGCCGATCAGAGGAGCAGGAACCAGAGCCCGACTGAGTCCGAAAACAGTCGGTCCAGACTGTGGCTTCAGGACGGTTGGAAGTGGAAGATGGAGGAGACAGAGGACCCGGCAGACGTAGGGCCGTCGCTGCCCCCCGTTTACATCTACAGTCTGAGTATGTCAGCATGTGCGACTCCCTGGCCAAGGTTCCCAAACGGGTAAGAGAGGTCGGGATGAAAGACCTGGGCTTTGGAGATGGGGGTTGGGGGTGTGCATTAGGAAGCGGAGAGACTAGGCTGGGGGAAAATCTTCAGCAGAAATTGAGGCAGCTGTGTCAGGTGCCTAAAGCTGCACCAGGAGGAAGTGTTCCCTAACCGGTTAGGAGAGCAGTGGGGCGTCCAACGGACAGGTGGGGGTGGGGTGGAGATCGGGGTAGGGGATGGGGTGGTGCAGAGGGGATGGAGCTTCTACTAGGAGGGGACCGCTGAAGTCGTGGAAAAGAAACTGCTGGGGGAAAGATTCCATCACCTGCGTAAGACCCAGTAGCTTCCGTCTTGGCGATTTTGATACTTTGTTTTGTCTAAAGTGTATCCTAACTGTTAAGTAACAGAAGGGAGGCTTGCCAAAGCACTTAGTTTCTTCGCTCAGGATGATGGTGATGGGATTTCGCTGAATTAAACTTTTAAGAGACTATGTTCTGCCTTTCTTTTTTTATGCTGATGTTTTTAGGCCAGTATGGTACATTCTCTGATTGAAGCATATGCACTGCATAAGCAAATGAGGTAAGTTGTCTTTTCTGAACATAGTCATCCTTGGAGCTAGGTGTCCATAGCCTTAATGTCCTGCTTCACATTGGGGCTAATTAAGGAGAGAGAGAATGGTGCCTTTTAAAAAGCTTTTTGTGAGAGTATTCATAGTGTTTGTAATCTGTCTGTAACCCCACAAAAGCTCTTGAAGAATTAAGAACGTTTGAAAAACATATACGAAACAGTTACCATTAGAAATAGGACTTTGTTGTTGGGTGCCATAGGTGCTTTGTAGAGAGTTTGAGGTGAGTGCATTTGGGTACTAAAACCTGTCTAAAAGAAAAAAGGTGTTCAATTGGGAGGTGTTCTGTTTTTGTTTTGTATTTGGTTTTTCATTGTTTTGTTTCAGGGTTTTGTTTGGTTGGTTGTTTTTTGTTTTTCTTAAGCCAGATCTGAGGGTGTGAGTTCAAAATACGATTTTTAGACATTCTACTGCCACTACGACAGGTAAACTTAGAGAAAAGTCAAGACCCAGGTAAACTGCTGAGACCAGGCCAGAACTCAAGAGAGGGCTAAGTGCTTCTTTCAAAAAATGAGCTTGCTATTGATTGTCAATTCTGTATTTGATGTCATTATAAGTGCAACTGTTATGAACCTGTCATGTGTCATAAGTAAGGACTACTTAGAACATTTTCTGATCATAGGAATGAGTGTCAACACCAGCTAGTGTGGTATTCTTCATTTATCTCCTAGAAGGTAGTGTACAAAATCATTTCTTGTATAACTTCTTTTTGGGAGTTTGAGACAGGTTATCACTGTACAGCCCAGGCTGGCCTGGAACTGCCCTCTGCCTCCCAAGTGCTGAGATTACCAGCATGCATCACCACTCCCAGCTTTGTATACCTTCTTCAGGAATGTTTTTCAACCATCATTTAACCCATATGTTTGGTCAGAATAACTACATGTCTTTCATTAAAGTTTTTAACATTTCAAAAATTATTATAAATAAAATATCAAAGAAAGGCATAACTGACTAATTTCCTTTTTGTTAAGTAGGGATGCTTTCAATAAGTATTTCCAAGCTTTAACATTTAAGAAAATAAATGGCAAGGTGCTATAAGAAGCAGCTATTATGGGCTGGCAGAGTGTCTCAAGTGGTAGAGTCCCCACCTAACAAGTGCAAGGCCCTGAGTTCAAACCCCAGTACTGCACACAAAAAAAGTAAGAAGAAGAAGCTATTAGGTTAGGGTTAGGAACATAGCTCAAGAAACTGTAAAATTTTATTTTAAGGGACAAATTTTTCACCTTTTGTGTAGACATGTTTTCTTGAAGAAGAAATAAGAATCCTTGGATCTTGGTTATATATTTAATTTTTGAGGCTAGACCATAGGATTTCTCCCGGCCACTTTGGTTTACCAATAGCCTGTAGAATCATTGATGCATGATAAACTTATGGTGATGCTCCTAGTCAGCAAACATTAAAAAAGAAAAATGAAAAACACAAGTATCTCTCTGTGGCCTAGGTCAGTGGTCCTTTAACTTGAATGTGTACATGAATCAACTTGCTAAGATACATTATCTTGTTTTAAAAAATCATCTTGCTTAAATACAAATTCTGATTCACTGGGTCTGTGGTGAGGCTCAATTTCTGCATTCCTAACATGCTCCTGGGGGATGCTGATGCTGCTGGTCCACAGAACACCCTTTCAGTGGTAAAGGCTAGAGAATATAAGGGTATAGGGTCAGAAAGAGGAAACTGGAAATAGGCAGCTAGAGTATAGAGGTGGTAAGTCCTGTTGTTAGGTTAGGTCCCTTAATTCTCTCATTCACTCCTATTTGTCACTTCTTGTGAGGAATAGGTTGGGAAGTTCTGAGTGAAGCCCATTTCTAACCATCTTGCCCCTATTCTCCTTCCTCTCAGAGGCAGATTTTAGAGGCCAGGTAGATAAACTTTTTGTATTTCAAGTTCCCATTATTTTATTCTTGAATATTGATGATAGTTAGCCACAAAGAATTTTTGCATGTTATCTTTTAATCTCCACGTAAGTCTCATAAGTTACAAATGAGGAAACTAGGTATAGAGCAATTAATTTACCTGAGCTTCTAGAGTTAATAAGAACAGAGTTAGGATGGGAACCTTGTTCTCTGACTCCAGATTCTGAATGTGTGATAACCCATCTACCTTCTTAAATAAAGATATATAGGGCTGAGGGTTTAGCTCAGTGGTAGAACACCTGCTCAGCCCTGAGTTCTACCCCAGCACCAAAACCAAAATAAATAAATAAGGATTTAGCTGAAAGGGTTGTATAGCCCAGTTAGCAACTAATCAGATGAAATTATCTTTGCCTGCTGGTTTTTCATGAAAGTTGTAACTTATAGAACAGTTTATTGGATCCCTGATTATTTGTTTAACTTCAAGATAATTATTCACTTATTTTTACCTACCTGTAAACTCAAGGGACAAATCTGCCCTATTGCCTCTCATTATTGGAGTTCTCACTCAAATGTGAGGAATTGAAGACTGTCTAGTGCAGTGGAGGGACAGAATGTATTTATTACTTTAGCCCACTGGAACCAGAGCTAGGAGTTGTATTTTCTGCTTAGACTGCTGGCTCCTGTCTCCAGCTTCTGGCATACTCTGGGTCTGACTCACTCACCTCTCTTTGTTATTATTAGGATAGTGAAGCCCAAAGTGGCCTCCATGGAGGAGATGGCCACCTTCCACACTGATGCCTATCTGCAGCATCTTCAGAAAGTCAGCCAAGAAGGTGACGAGGACCATCCAGACTCTCTAGAATATGGGCTAGGTAAAGTCTTTCCCAGGCAATGATGGGAGATGCACAGTAGTGTAATCTGTAGATTATACTACTTCCTATGTTATGACTTACATAATGATTTTAATACTTTTTAATTAGGAAATATGGGCTGGTGGAGTGGCTCAAGTGGTAGAGTGCCTGCTTAGCAGACATGAGGCCCTAGGTCCAAACCCCAATACTATCAAAAAAACCCAAAGAAATGTGTGTTAACTGTTGCGTGTAAGTGTGTGTGTGGGGGGGAGGGGTGCTGTGCATGACCCAATGCCTTGAGCATGCTAGGCACTGAGCTATACTCCTAGCCCCAGTTGTCCTTTTTAGTCTCTTGGTTTAGCCACATAGAACTCACTAACCAAGCAAACCATATGAGTTAAACAAAACTGAATGGTGAGCCAGGTGGAGGAAAAACCTTTCAGTCGCTGAGGCCCTCAGGGCAGCACTCAGATCTGGTCTGGCTAAACTGATTTAGCATCCTGCAACCTTACATTTTGAGTATAGATTTGTGTTCTCACTAAGATTTCCACCTTATTGTTCATTGAACAGATGCATTTGAAAACCAATAGGCTAGTAGCCAATAGGCATGGTTTAGTAGAAGGACACTAGATTGGGGTCAAGAGACCTGGCTCTCAGGCCTGACTCTGTGACCACTGGTAAGATGCATCACTTTTGTCCTTGCTTCACCATCTGTAGGTTGTGACTAGTTCATCTTGAAGACTTATCCTTTCCAGCTCTAACATTTTAAGATCTTCTGTCCTCTGCATTGGAGAGGTTTCTATCACGGCTGGAGCTGATGTTAGCACAGTAGCTTTTTAGTAGGGGATGTTGTTGTCAAACCTCAATATATTCCTCCTCTTTCTCCAGTTTATCTTTAATAAACTCCTTTGGTTTTTGCCATCAGGTTATGATTGCCCAGCCACTGAAGGAATCTTTGACTATGCAGCAGCTGTAGGAGGGGCTACAATCACAGCTGCCCAATGCCTGATCGACGGGATGTGCAAAGTAGCAATTAACTGGTCTGGAGGGTGGCATCATGCAAAGAAGTAAGGAAACGAATGATCTTCCTGCTTTCTGACCCTTTCCTTGAGTCAGTTTCTCAGTTACATAAACTCTTATGCTTATCATGTTGACATTTATTGAGAGATATGTGTTTGTGGCACTTTGTAAGGTTCTGAAAAGATACATATGAAACAGAAGAAGATGGCATAACTTAGTGCAAAGCACACTATGGAGAGTCAAGACAACTAGGCTCTACACCTAATTTTTCTGCTGACTTGGACAGATTTGCCTCCATTCGTCAGTAAAAGGGGCAGGGCAAAGGATATAATTAGATAGTCTCTAAATTCCTTTTCAGCTTTCTGGAAATTCCCCTGTCTTCAGGGGACTTAAGCTCTAGAAACATTAACAAAATTAGAATTTGGGGCTATCGATTATGGCACTGACGGAATAACTAAATAAGCTGAAAAGACTTAGCAGTAGGGAGAAATTAATCATGGGAGACTTGGAGAAGTGCATTTTAGAGCTAATTTTTTTTGGTGGTACTGGGGTTTGAACTTAAGGCCTTACACTTGTTAAGCAGGCACTCTACCACTTGAGCCATGCCCCCAGTCCTTTCTGCTTTAGTTATTTTTTTAATAGGATCTCTCATTTTTGTGAGACTGCAGTCCTCCTATTTACACCTCCCACGTAGCTAGTATGACAAGGACATGCCACCATGCCCAGCTTATTGGTGAGATGGAATGGGTCTCACCAACTTTGCCCGGAAGCTGGCCTCAAACTATGATCCTCCTGAACTCTGCCTCCTGAGTAGCTGGGATTACAGAAGTGAGCCACCATGCCTGGCCTAGAGCTAATTCTTGACAGGTGGCAAAACAGATTTTTGTATAAGTGAATTGAGGGAATAGATTTAGAACAGGAAATAGGCCAAGTAATCAAGAAGGGAGTTTATGCTACCATCTCTAAGGAAAGTAGCAACATAGAGTTAGCTGTCTCTCTAAGGCGAAAAGGCTTGCAAGATAGCTCTTCTTAGGTGCTACTTGGAGTTAGAGAGAAAGTCCTTTTGGAGTTTTGTGTTAGCATGTCAAACACATACTCTATCTGATGAGAACTACTAGGCTTTCTTCAACATTTGACATCTTGTTCTATGTCAGTACTTAATCCATGTTGGGAGAGAAGGATTTTAAAACTGAATTTATCAGTGTGCCATCTGAGTGAAAGGAACCAGCTATAGCAGTAACTGCCAGTGCATCATTCACAAATCAGTTGTTCCTGCGACCAACCATGGCCTGGGTATTCTTAGGTGCTCTCAGGTCAAAAGAAAACAGCACTTGTTTTTTCACAATAAAGCACAGTATGGTATTATTTTCATCCAACTGACAGGTTTCATGACCAACGAAGTCCTTGAAAAGCTTCACTGCTAGAATCTACTACTTGGACAATAGAGAACAGATGTTTTAGTAATGAGTTTTATAAGGTCTTAAAAACAAAAGAAAAACATCCTGCTTTTGCTTTTTTTGGTTTTATTTTTTTGCTTTCTGCAGTGCTGGGGTTTGAACTCAGGGTCTACACCTTGAGCCACTCCACTAGCCCTTTTTTGTGTTGGGTTTTTTCAAGATAGGATCTTGCAAACTATTTGCCTGGGCTGGCTTCTAACCATGATCCTTTTGATCTTTGCCTCCAGAGTAGCTAGGATTACAGCCCCTGGCTTGCTTTATTATTTTATTTTAAATTTAAAATAAAGACAGTGATCCCTAGGAGAAAAAAAATGGCCATCTTTCCTTGAAGCTGAAAAATGAAAGGAGAAACCCAAGCTTCTCTGAGTCAAGGACTTCTGTATCCTCTTGGGCTTGGCATGTAGAGAAGAAAAGTAGCATGGCTTCATAGAAAACAGCTGCTTCTACATGTCAGCTCTAGATTCTCATGTGTTTGAATTCACTGCAGAAAGCCTGCTGGGCCTAGGTCGGTTTCTAGTGGAGTACTCAGATACTGACCACTTCTTACTACTCCTTGCTGCCAAAGGACACACACTCTGCTTAAGATAGTTGTGGCTATATGGCTGCATGTACTTTGAGTGTACCCACATATCATTATCTTAACTTTTTTGGACAGCTTTCAGTTGATCCTGCCTGGAAACAGACACACCTGTGGTAAATGTAAATTACAGTTTCTAGGGATTGCCCCATATCAAGTCTGAATTTTAGCATGTTCTTGGCACCCCTAGAACCTCTCTGCAGGTGGACTACAGGCCCACAGCTTACATCTAGCCAGCACCTACCTATTTATAATTATTTATAATCACAGTATTTGTTTAAACCTCCTCATCTTCACATATATACACAGTTTCATACATGCCATTTATTCTTTGAACAAGCATTGATGACACACTTACTATGTTTCAAAGCTGTTTATCATCACTAGTAAGCAAGAGCTACAGAAACTGAAGCAAGGTATATTTTTCCCTGCCAAGTTTACAAAAAAATTTGGACCTGGGGTTTGAACTCAGGGCCTCACACTTGCTAGGAAGGTGCTTTTACCACATGAGCCACTCCACCAGCTGTAGAAAAGTATTTTAAAATATCTAGAGTTACAGTGAAACTTTGGAAGTGTTAAAAGTGGAGGGAAAAGTTCATACCTGTTGACCCAGTAACAATATTCTTGACAGTCTATTCTGAGGAAATTAACCAATTCTACCTTTAGAAATTCATATCTTAGGATTAAGACAGAAAATACATTTGAAAGCTAAGTAAGAGTAATTTTTTAAAATTCTGCAAAAGAAGAGTAGTGAAGGACTAATGCTATAGACATTAAATATAAAAGATTAGAATAATGAAAAATGATGTACCACTGGCATAAGATCAGATAGATAATGCTACAGTATGATCCTCCCCCAAAGATATCAGAGTGTATAAGTTTAATCTATTATAAAAGATGCATTAGAGAAAGACAGATTAGCTGACTTCCTGGTTTGGCCGAACTGCAAATAAATTTGTTTTTCCTTTTTTTCATTTTTCTCTTATTCCTGATCTAGGCAGGCTGACCAAAGCCAGTTAGTCCCTCAGTACCCCAGATCTAGACCTTTTGCTGAGGAGGTGGTAACAGGATCTACCAAAAGAGAGCTGCTCCAAGACAAATTTCATTACTTGAGAGACTGATCTACGTAACACGACAATCTTTATTCACTGTACATTCCTTCCTTTTTCCAGCCTTACCTTGTGTCCCTCCACTATCCCCCAGAAGTTCCAAGCCCTTTCTATAGCTCGGGATATTGTATAATGTTTAACAGTCTGACCCTTCTTTTAGTCTCATACTATTTTAGCCTCATACATATTGTATATGAAATTAACTTAAAGGACTCTGTCCTGTCCTGTAAATCTGTTTTTATGTCAGTGTAATTCATAGCCTAACCAAGAACCTAGAAGTAAGGAGGGAAACCATTTTTCCTTTCCCAACACAAATTGAACAAACTGTGTCTGAGGCTGATGCCTTACCTACTGGTTCTAAGGCTCCTTTCCTCTTGCATTTCTGCAGTTACCGCACTCTGTGTACAGCACATTTCTCTAAGGAGAGTTTTACTGAAAGTTTCCTGGGATTTTAGTATCATTTCCTTGAGTCAGTGATTCAGTTTTTCCTCAACGTTTTGCTGTGGGCCAAATGCCACCTGCTGGCAGCCAGGTGTTATAGCCTGTAATTTTATGTGACATCTACTATGATATTTAATCTTTACAAGTCCCACAGTCTGCACATTTAAAGTGATTGGTCTTATCTGGGTGCACTGTTCAATAGGTCTTTTGAATTTGCTGATGTACTTTAATTTCAGAAAAAAAACAGGTATTTCTATTGAGATCTCTTTTTTACTAGTTAATGTACCTGTACTATCTTTCTTTATCACATGATCACTTTTAAATTATATAGTCTGTAAAAGTATGCTTCCATAAATTTGTTAATGTTTAAGAAAAAGGTCACTTTTACAAGATATTGCTCAGTTTTCCTTCCTGGTGCCATAATCTTATAATGGTATATTTTCTTCATGGTTTAGAGGAGAGAAAGGCTTTGGATTATTGTGAAGTCTTTGTTAAAGAAAAATTATTCAGTGATACTTTTAAATCATAGTAAGAAGACAGTACATATAAGGACCACTGCAATGGGCCACAGGGTCTCAATTCTAAGAGACTGTACTCAACTTATTATATCATGGGCAAGGAGGAATGTATAGCCAAGGAACAGTATGGAGATTAGTAGATGGAAAATTACCAAAAGGAAACATCATGTTAAGGGGAAATCTGTCTAAACTGACCTCAGAGGATTATAGCTGAAGCCTGGCCCGGGTGACTGGATGTCCCCTATGGAATGATGAAGGTTGAGGAACGGGAGTTTCTGCCTAACTGATGTAGCAAGGTTCTTTGCTAATAATGTATTTTACAAGGAAATGCACAGACGGGCCTAGAAGAAGTTTCAGAAGCTTGACTAAAGTTTATCCCAGCAAAGAATTTCTATAATCTTCAGTGAAACTACTAACATTTGGTGCTTCATACCAAAGCAAGACCAAATTGTAGCTGTTTCTACTTTGTTGTGACACTTAACAATCAATCCCTAATTATATGATCTTTGAGCTACAGGCTTGTGGAGAATGAAGAATGTTAAGAAGAAATACGGATTTATTATATTAAGAGTCCATGTAGAACCAGAATTTTAACATGGATTACTATCTACTTACATTGCTGGTAATACATTATAATTACTAAGGTCTGGTTTGCATTTGGGAAAGCAATTAAAAGATACATTATAAGTGACTGAGAGTAGAAAGGATTATTCATTAAACAATATTGTGACAGCTTGTAGCATTTATACTCTCATCTCCTATAATAAACTAAAATAAGTGGCAGTTGGATTGAAAAGTTATATATAAAAAGCAAATTAAAACTACTAGAATGAATGAATATTTATCAAGCTTCTCATAGGGAATCATTTTCTAAACTTAGGAAGTAATAGGAAATATTCTCAAGGGAAAAGATCATATCCGACTGTATAAAATTTTAAAGCCAATGTAACTTTTAAAGAGTTTTTTGACCATTTTAAAAATGAAATCTAAACAGACTGAAAAAGCCCATGTTACACAAATATGACAAAGTGTGTTAGGTTTGTATTATCTAAGGCACTCATTCAGTATAATGTATAAGAAAAAATATGAACATACGTGAATTGACAATTTATGAGTTTAAGTACAACTACGAAACATGGGGAAATGTTCATTACTACTAATCAAAAAATGCAAATTAAAATAACTTCATCTTTTTTGATGGTACTAGTGTTTGAACTCAGGGATCTGCACTTGCTAGACAGGCACTCTACCTCTTGAGCCACGTGTCCAGTCCTAAATAAGCCTCTACTTAACAGAATTTTAAAAAGATAGTACTCAGTTTGCTAGTGAGTTTGGTTTGGTTTAACATTTTTTTGTGTTTGTGGTACCAGAAATTGAACCCAGAGCCTCACATGTGCTAGGCAAGCACTCTTCCACTGAACTATATCTTCAGCCCTATTTTAACCTCTTAAAGTATTTTCTTTTCTTTTCTTTTTTTTTGAGGCAGGATCTCCCTCTATAACCCAGGCTTGCCCCAATCTCATAATGCTCCTACCTCAGACTCTTGAGTGCTGGAATTACATGTGCACACCCCACATCTGGCTTTAAGAAAGCATTTTCATAGCCAACATATAGTAAAGCTCTTTGATCTAATAATTTTACTTCTGGGAGTATTTCGTAAGAAAATAATTCAAAATATGGAACTATTTTCATGCAGTGTCACTTGTAAATTTTTTTAAAAAATGAAATAACAGGAATTTCTAACAATAAGAGAATGGCCAGTATACTCCAAGGAATATTATGCTATTTTTTGCTTTTTTGTGGTTTTATATGTGTGTGTGCGTGTGTATGTCTGTCTGTCTGTCTGTCTGCTGAGGATTGAATCCAGGGTCTCTTGCATGATAAGTATACACTTTACTGCTGCCTTTATGCTATTATTTTTAACGATGATTAGGAAATTATAAGGAATTTCAAAACATATGTGTCAATAAAAAAGCAGGTCTTAAAATTGTACGTACCAAAAAAGGCTGGGGCGTGGCTTAAGTGAGAGTACCTGCCTAGGAAGCACAAAGCCCTGAGTTTAAACCCCAGTACCACCAAAAAATTACTTGTTCCTAGGCTGGTGGAATGGCTTAAGTGGTAGAGCACCTGCCTAGCAAGCGTGAGGCCCTGAGTTCAAATCTCAGTGCTGCCAAAAGAAGGTATGCACACTGCAGTTGCCACTGTGTAAAACACACATATATGAGAAGAAAACGGTGGCAGCGGTAATAGTGGTTATCTTATAGTGCTAGAATTAGTCATAATTAAAAATGTTTTTCTTTAGTTTTCAAATCTCTACAGTGAGATTATATTACTTTTACAGACTAAATTTTAGCAAAATAAAAAGAGGCCAATGAATAGTTATGGTAAATACAACCAAGGGTTAAAATATCTTTATTCTAATTAGTTTAACACTAATAATCACATAAATGGACAAAAGACACAAATAGACAATTCACAAATAAGAAAACAAATAATAAACTAGCAGGAAAAATACTTAGCATCACAAGTAATTAAAGAAATTGAAATGTTGTCTGTATATTTTCCTTCCTACCAAATTTGAGATGACTCTTGGTAATCTAAGGAAATAAACCAATCCAAGATATGGAAAATATTATATGAAGATCATACTTTCTGTCTTATTTACAATAGCCAAAAAAGGTAATGGGAAGATAGTTTCACATGCGAGGAAGGTAGTGCGTGCAGAGAAACAAGTAAGAGTTTGCTTTGCCATTGGTGGAGCAGAAAATTCTAAGCAGAGAAATGATGGAAGCATGGCACCAGGAACATACAAGGCATTTGGAGAACCACAAGTAGTTAACTGTGCCCAGAGTGTGAGAGCAAATAGAGCAAGACCAGATTACAAAGATTTTGTAAGCCATACTAAAGAGCTGGACTTTTTTCTGGGGTTGGTGGGGATTTACTAAAGAATTTTAGGGAAGGCTGACTGTGTTGACTGGATTGGAGGAAAGTGAGAATGGAGGCAGAAGAGGCTGTTGCAATCATTAATTTAACAAACATTTACTAAGCTCCTGCTTTAGCTCAGGCACTAAGAAAATGAAGTGTATGGGAGGTTTTCATTGTTTAAGGCAACTTGGTACAGACAAAAGGCCATTTTGTGAATCCATTGAAAAAGGGGGACCAAAGTTGGGCATGGAGCAGGAGGATCTCAAATTCCAGGCTCCTAAACTATATATATATAGGCCATCTTGAAAAAGGGTACAGGACAAAATTTTACAGAAAGTAGTAGAAGGGGCAGGGTTTGATTAGAATGCTAGTGTGAATAACTAGGTGCTATCAAACTATGCTTGTTTTGTCTAGTTTCATAAAATCTAGTGCTACATACAACTGTGCACTAATTCTTACAACAAACAAACAATATAGCAAAGATTGATGTTTTTGTTTGGACCCTAATTTTTCAAACAAAATTACATGATATTTCAAGATAGTTTGTTGCATTTCCTGTGAGACTTTTGCAAGCATAATCATTAAAAGGGTTGATTTTGCTAGTATTTTCAAGGATTTTATTACTTTCCCCACAAGCGTCTCCTTAATCAACTTGATATTTACATCATTCTCTTGTGAACTCCTTTTATTTATTTTTTATTCATATGTGCATACAATGTTTGGGTCATTTCTCCCCCCCTTCCCCCACCCCCTCCCTTAACTACCCAGCCCCCTCCCTCTCCCCCCCACCCCCTTGCTTTCAGGCAGAAACTATTTTGCCCTTATTTCTAATTTTGTTGTAGAGAGAGTATAAGCAATAATAGGAAGGACCAAGGGTTTTTGCTAGTTGAGATAAGGATAGCTATACAGGGAGTTGACTCGCATTGATTTCCTGTGCATGTGTGTTACCTTCTAGGTTAATTCTTCTTGATCTAGCCTTTTTTCTAGTTCCTGGTCCTCTTCTCCTATTGGCCTCTGTCGCTTTAAAGTATCTGCATTAGTTTCTCTGTGTTGAGGGCAACAAATGCTATCTAGTTTTTTAGGTGTCTTACCTATCCTCACCCCTCCCTTGTGTGCTCTCGCTTTTATCATGTGCTCAAAGTCCAATCCCCTTGTTGTGTTTGCCCTTGATCTAATGTCCGCATATGAGGGAGAACATACGATTTTTGGTCTTTTGGGCCAGGCTAACCTCACTCAGAATAATGTTCTCCAATTCCATCCATTTACCTGCGAATGATAACATTTCATTCTTCATGGCTGCATAAAATTCCATTGTGTATAAATACCACATTTTCTTAATCCATTCATCAGTAGTGGGACATCTTGGCTGTTTCCATAACATGGCTATTGTGAATAGTGCTGCAATAAACATGGGTGTGCAGTTGCCTCTGGAGTAATATGTGTCACATTCTTTTGGGTATATCCCCAAGAGTGGTATTGCTGGATCATATGGTAGATCAATGTTTAGCTTTTTAAGTAGCCTCCAAATTTTTTTCCAGAGTGGGTGTACTAGTTTGCATTCCCACCAACAGTGTAAGAGGGTTCCTTTTTCCCCGCCTCCTCACCAACACCTGTTGTTGGTGGTGTTTTTGATGATGGCTATTCTAGCAGGGGTGAGGTGGAATCTTAGTGTGGTTTTAATTTGCATTTCCTTTATTGCTAGAGATGGTGAACATTTTTTCATGTGGGTTTTTGGCCAGTTGAATTTCTTCTTTTGAGAAAGTTCTGTTTAGTTTACTTGCCCATTTCTTTATTGGTTCATTAGTTTTGGGAGAATTTAGTTTTTTGAGTTCTCTATATATTCTGGTTATCAGTCCTTTGTCTGATGTATAGCTGGCAAATATTTTCTCCCACTCTGTGGGTGTTCTCTTCAGTTTAGAGACCATTTCTTTTGATGAGCAGAAGCTTTTTAGTTTTATGAAGTCCCAATTTATCTATGCTATCTCTTAGTTGCTGAGCTGCTGGGGTTCCATTGAGAAAGTTCTTGCCTATACCTATTAGTGAACTCCTTCTAAAATCATTATCCATGTTTTTCTCCTCTTTATTTATGAGCTAGTCTACCAGATCCTTGTTGTTAGTGTTGTGTGCTGACTTCATGATATCCTGCATCTTTTTATAAGGTTCGTAGTTTGATTTCATGACAGATTTGCACGAAATTGTCAGCTTATACACCTGACAATCTATGAGGGACAAAATGGACCGATGGATGGGGTTAGGTGCTTGTGTTTAAAGGAGTGGATTACTTAAGCAGAGACTGGTATAAGTGGTCAATTAATTAGCAAATACTTTCATATTATAACAGCTTTTATGTCCTTAGGAAACCTCAAAACCTTGGTACTGCTGGAGCTAAGATAATAAATGCTCAGTAGTGAGAACTCCCTGTACCAGCAAAGGTCCACTGCAATGTTTTTCACACCAAGGGCTGCAATTCATTAATGGAGCATTATATTAACATAATGGGCTGCAACCAGCATTTTTGGTTTCAAAAGTGGATTGTACAAAACTTATTCAGAGTAGTGTGTGTTTGTGTATACTAAGTCATAATGTAAAATGTCATGTCATTGTAGAGTGAAATGGCTGTGATCTTTGAAATAAGACCTAAATGTAAATCTAGGCTCCTGTACTTACTAGTTGTGTGCATAACCTCAGGGTTAGTTCAGGAACAGCATGTGCAGAAGCACAGGGGTGTGAAAATTGTGGGGACTTGCATGTCTGTCATTAAATCTAAAACTACAGGCAAGTGGTCAGAGATGAAGTTAGAGAGGATTCCTGTCTGCCAAGCTAGATAGGTAGACTTGATTG